GGCACAAGTTTTTTCATTATGGCTTTATTTGTAATAGCAAAATATAATATATACTCATATATTAATATTTATACGCAGCATAAATCAATAATGGGGAAAACCCTAAAGTTGAATTAAAAAACAAACAAACCTAATCGGATATCAAATTGAATACATAATCACACAGAAAAATTTAATTTGAGTAGTTTTTAAACATAGTATTCTGAAAATGCAACCTTTTTTGCCTAAGAACAAAAGCACTAGAAAAGAATCTTGAATCTTATTTAGTAGGCTTGGTGTTGGTAGTGGCTGTAGTCACAATTTCAGAACTATTGTGTGTGTATGAGGGAAGTACAGATATGAAAAGAGGAAGATAAAGAACCACTCTGGATGTTGGATTTTAATTGGTGGTATTAGTGTGAACTTGTGATTTTAAGAAGGTCTAGAAAGCAGACATCCTGGTAGCAATAGGAAACTCAGTGCCTGGTTCAGGGTTTCTAAGTACCCTTCCTTGGTGAAAGAAGCCAGAGCTCCTTGAAGAATGGTTAGTTCCAGATCTAGAGTGAGAAAGTGTTAAGGTGAGCCTGGAATATCTTGCTGCACCCAAAGTAAAAAAAGTGTTCCTATAATCACAGCAACATATAGGACATGCTCCAACTTGAAGAAGTGCCCAATGACAAAACTGATACAACTTGAGCATCAAAAATAGTAATTATGGTTATAGACTATTTGATTTTGAAACATACTTGAATTTAAAAAAAGAGAGAAAAGGAGGAGGCTTGGGCTAGATCTTTGAGAATGGGTTAAATTTAAATAGATGGAGAAGAATGGTAATTTAGTCAGTATGAACAAAATAAGGACCTGATAAAGAAGAGGGCAAAATTCAGGTGATTGGAGTGGGGGTGGGGGCTGGTCCAGCTAGACTGGCAGGTTCACATGGGGATCCGTAAGTCTTAAGATTTGGTAGTTTGAGAACATCGATGCCAGTCTGAAGGTTAGAGTTTGGGTATAATGGCAGTAGGGAACCACTGTAAGGCTTTGAGTGGAGGAATTATAAGAGGAAATGATGAAATAGGTATTTTGGGGTGATGCTGGGCAGCTAGGTGGAGGACAGGGGATGGAGAGACGGCAGGCAAGGGGGTCAGTTTGGCAGTCTTTGCAGTGACTGAAAAACAAGATGCTGGGGCCTGCGAGGAGCCGGTGAGTGGATAAGGATTGAAATGGCTCAAATTTTAAAACACTTCAGAGGATGACTATTCCTCTGATAAAGGAGGAGGGAGTCAGTGACTCAGAGTTTCTGTGCTGAAGGGGAGAAGGATAATGATGGGACTGAACTAAATATGAAGAGTAGAGAATGGATTTTTGCTGTATTTTGAATTGGTTTTGAATATACTGACTGCGAGCCTGTAGCATTTTGATGTTTACAGACCAAAAACATTTAACCAGGTGTCCCACTCTGGGGTGGTGCTCCTGCCCCTTCTCAACCAGCTTGATCCCTTTCAGAGATCAGGGGAGAGCAGGGCTCTGCTCTTTTCCTGCAGCTGTTCTCAGTGACTGCTTGTCATAAGCATTCATGCTCCGCAGTGCTCAGAATCGTCTTCCTGTGGCACCCCAGTGGGCCACTCCGAGTGTGTGTACTATCACTTCCTGGTTGGGCCAGAAAAGAATTTTTGAGACATAACTCAGGGCAGGGCTGCCATGTATGCCATTTCTCTTTCATCCCTGCAGTGACGCCCAACTGAGGGGCCTCTGTAGTTTGTGGCTGTCTGGCTTCATCAGAGGGTGTCTGCCCTCTCCCCCGCCAGCCCTCTGGCTCGGTGGAGGAAGGCCTGTCCTGAGCTCTCCTGGTGAGCAGGCTCCCCAGGCTGCCCTCCTCCCTGCACTCTTGGCATTCACATGGCATGGCCATATATTATGCCCAGCGTGTTCATTTTCAGTTTAAATGTGTTCTCATCCCAGAGGAGCAACTAATGGCGTCAAGTTACTGATGTGAAAAAAGCCTGCCGCTACAATGACTGTGGATTAATGAAATAGCAGTCATGGAGGCTGGGGCAGCAGTAAATTGTCAGGGCACTGGTGACAGGGATTTTAAATTATGTTCTCCGTCTCCTTTCCCCTTCTCCAAAACTATTTTGCTGTAGCATTGTTTGGTAAATGTTCTCCATTGCTTCAGTGTTTGCTTTCTATTAAAAGTCAGTGCAGGCTGGGCCCCTTCCTCTTAAGGGCCCTTTGCTCAGAGGACTGGACGTGGGCTGAGAGGGATTTACAAGCCTATCATGCTTCCTCTAGGAGGCGTGAAGGCAAATCTCTTAATCCAGGATCATCACTGACTGATAAATTTCATTCAGAACATTGGCAAACACAGGGCTGTATCAGTGAACTCTGCACATTTGGCTTGCGAGTTACTATCTCCACTTCTATTATGGCTGTTTTCTTTTCCTAATGAATTTAAAATGAGGAGCCATTTATACAATTCATAGTGTTTTTGAAAGGCAACAAGTCTATTCTTCATTAGTTGAAGGACCTCAGGGAGTCCACTGATGGGCCATAGGGAGTTCAGGAATCCCTGATCCTATAAGCAAATGTGAATGAGCAAACTGCTCATATGCAGATGTTTTTCTAGGAAGGACTACGGATTTCATCAAATTCACCAGACGTTCCATAACACTGAGCCAGCTTAAAGGCTGCTGCTGAGCACTGCGTAGATGGCCACAACTTTTCCTCTCCCCAGATCTTGTCCTTGCATGGACTTTGCAGCTCCTTTGACTGAAAGGAGTCTGTCCACCTTTGATTCTGGCTGGCACTGTGATTGGCTTTGGCCCATGGGATATTAGCAAATGTGACACAAGCAGATTTGACAGGTGCTTGCACTGTGGGGCTTGCCTGCTTACTGGAACACGTGCTGTTCCTGCTACCACGTGAACAAGGCTGGGCCTGCCCAATGAGCTACATGGCCTGGGCACCCTCATTTCCCCAGCTGAACCCCAGCAAGAGTGGACAATGAGTGTGTCCAGCCGAGATGAGCCAAGCCAAGGTCTATGGATTTCATCAAATTCACTAAATGTTCTAAAATGCCAGTATAGCTCAAGGGCTGCTCTGGTGGACTGCATACGTGGCCACAGCTCCTTCCGCTCCACTCATCCATGACCTTGCAGTGGGACTTTGCAAGGGCAGGGGTATGTAGAGCCTGGGCCAAACCAGGAGCAAATGTCCAGCCCAAATTGCTGACGTACAGAATACTGATGCTATTTTGGGGTAGTTTATTATGCAGTAAAAGCTAACTAGTACAAATACTATACCAGGCAGTGTACCTTTTGCGGATGAGGGACACATCTTATTCAGTCTTTGTATTTCTTTTTCCTAAAAACACAGTAACCATTCAATATATATTTGTTGAACCGAGTAGAACAGGTCTCTCAAAAAGACAGATTCAGCCACTTTCTCAAGGTTACTTAATGAATCCAGAGAGACCCCAGAGCACCTAGCTCCAGGCCTCAGCTCCCTTATATAAAGTGCACTTCAGAACACCTGCCCTGTCGCGCTGCTATGGCTGTTAGAGGTACTGGGTGCGTTGGGAGGTGCTGGTGCTTGGTGGCCAGTAGCCCGAGCCTGGAGAGCGGCTGCCGAGCCTCGGAGCTCGCCGGCGTCAGGCGCAGTGACCACCGGGTGTCCAGCGGGGAGACTCCAGTTTTCGGGCGTCAGCTTTCTCTGCTGCAGGAGGTTGGTTCCTGCTGGCTCGATCAGACATCCGTGTGTCAGCCTGACGTGGCTGCTGCTGCAGTGTGGCCCCGTGGCCGGAGGACATGCCACTCTCTGCGAGGTGGGGGAGGGTCCTGAACAGGACTGAGGGGACACCAGGGGCTGCTCTGGATTCAGCTGTCACTTCCTGTATCTTGCTTCCTTGCTTGTAAAATTAGGTGTGGGTGACAGGAGGCTCTCTGAGAACCCTGCCAGCTGTAGGAATTCAGGGGCTTCAGTTACGACCAGAGTTCCCTCCAAGCCTGAGGGACTAAACTGCTCACAGGATCACTGAGCCTGAGAAAACTTTACCTTTTTTTTTTTCTCTGGAGGAAAATAAAAGGCTTTCTGTATTTGTCTAAAGCAGAAGGTGGAAAAGCAGGCCATATAATTGGAGAATAATAAAAAAAAGAAAAGGAAGCAAGCCTGATGTGAGCTGGGATGCTAGAACCTTGCTTCCTGCAGGATAATGGAGCTTCGTGTTATGCAGATCACATGATCAAACCATAGACAATTACAGAAAATCAAAAAAAAGAAAATCGTGACATACACAGAGGGTTATAAAATGCTCAGAATGAGTTACACAGAGACCCGTGAGACATACGATAAAAGTTTTTTTTTCCTTTCCCATTAAGACCTCCTATCCTTTTCTGATAACACCTAAAATGACTTCTTTCAAGGATTTAGGGTAAAACTTCTTTTTGGAGATGTATTTGGAAGTGAATAATGGACAACATATCATTTACCACAGGTACTGAAGACAACAGCTGAAAATTCTGCTTCTTACCAAAACAAGTTTTTGCTCAGAAGCTAATGTGAAAACACTGGTTTTTATCCAGCTATCCCAAGGGGATAGTACTGTTATGCTTTTAATAGGATTTTCTATCTTTAATGTTGAGGTTTTAAACATTAAAATTGCCAATGATTAAGCAAAGAAAACAATTACCAGATGGCATTTTCAACCAAATTTTTTATATTGATTATAATCATGCTTCTTTACAACTAAGAATTCTTGTGGTGTGCAAACCAATATGTCTGCCTTTATTTGCCTAAATAATAAACACAGAACAGCATTTCCAATAGGGGAGGTTCACACAGCAAACAAAATGTAGTGTGTGTGACCTCAATAAGGCATTCAGTAAAGGTATAAACCGTCTCCCCACGACGGGTTCCCTTAGGATGCTCTGATGTTGGCATCGCATTCTTCTAAGAGTAGAATCAAATCTTCAATCAGGCTGTGCTCTCTGCCGTGTGTCACTCTCATAATATCAAAAGCCTAAAGGGAAAAGAAAGAAGATGGATTAGATCCCTACACCAGGCAGGTCCCTGGCCGCTCCTTGTCTTTTCTTGTGACATCAGGAGTGCAGAGAAGCCTGCAGTCTACAGTGTGAGCAGCACTGTGGTTCCTCAAGCCAGAAATGAAGTGACAGGGGTGATTTTGTCATGTGGTGCTTGGAAAGCAGACTCACTGCTTGAGTCATCTGGGCCTGGTGTCCAACAACGCACTTCAGGGATAGTTAGTGTTTAGGTTTAGTGTGTAGTTACAGAGGTTTAAGAAGAGTGACTAAAATGATTAATATTAAAGAGGAACTGCTATACTGCTGCCACCTTAAAACAGTCATTTTTGCACACTGCATTTAATTTTTATCTGTATGTACTGTGATATGTAGAATGTGTACATACAATTTTTGTAGGCTTTTCATTTTGCGAATCCCTGCCTTCACTCCCCGTGTTCAGTCTGTCACTGTCTTGCCAGTTCTACCTCCACCATAGTTGTGAGATCTGGATGGGTTTGTGACCACTTCAGTAATAGGGTATGATGACATCAATGCTGTTGACTTGCAAAGCTAGGTTAGAAAGGCCGTGCAGCCTTTGCCTTGTTCACGCGTACGCCTGCTCCTGGAACCACGAGCTCCCATGCTGCGAGGAAGCCCAGGCCACGTGGGGAAGTGCAGGTGCTCTGGTCGACAGTCCTAGCCGAGCCCATCTTTAAAGTCATTCTAGCCTAGATGCTAGCAGTGCGAATAAAGAAGCCTCCGGATGATTCAGCCATCAGCTGTCTTCTGACAGCCAGATTCTGGTCTTCACATCTGGCACCCTAGACGCTGTGGAAAAGAGGCATGCCATTCTTTTTTGTGATCTGTTTGAATTCCTGATCCAAATCATCTGTGAGCATAGGAAAAGGTGGTTGTTTTACTCTGCAAAGTTTGGGGTTGGTTTGTCATACAGCAGTGGATAACCAGAATATCCTCAAAAATATTTTTGCAATAAATTAGAGATAAACAGTACCATCCTGCACTGCCCCAAAGGAAGGGACACCAGCCCCATTGTCTTCAGTGTGAATAAGCCTTCACATGTGTAGAGACACTGCGGGGGCTGTTAAGCACCCAGAAAAGTCCCTGCCGTGCAGCACATGCTCTCAGCCTTGGCTGCGCAGTAGTATCACCCGGGGCTTCAAAAGATATGCCAGTGCCCAGACCCCAACTGAAACCTGAAACCTGTTCTCTGGGGGTGAGGCCTGGGCTCAGGAGATTCTCCCGGCTGAGAACAGCTGATGTAGTAAGCTTGCAACAAATGATAACAAAATGAACATCCTGAAAGCCATGGAGACTTTTGAGCTGTGGAGCACCTTGGTGGTCATGTAGTCAGACCCCTTCTTTCTCCTGAGGAGGGAACCTGAAGCCGGGAGAAGCAGTGCTCAGGACTAGGAGTGCTTTCAGCCTGTGTTCCTGGCTTTTTGGCCCCTTTAAAAATATTCCCTTTAAGCTGGATTAAAGGCAGATAGAGTGGGTCTAGATTTAACTGCTTGGTGAGATGCCTCTGAGCCAAAGATCAAAAACCAGTGTTTGATGTGTTCAGGGAACAAATGTCTTCCCCACCCCTCCTCCCAACCAGACCCCGGGAACTGCCCTGGGTCCTGCGTCATTTGACATCTCAGAGTCCAAGGCAGAGGCCTGTGTGAGAGCATGATTGTAAAGAGAGACTGGAGAGATGCTTCACGTCCTTTATGGGAAATTGGAAAGCTGTCTTAGACGTTCCCTTCCCTTCCACTCAACAGAGGGCCAGATGCACTTGTGCTCTGGCAAAGGAGGGTGAATGGGCCAGAAGCACTGCCTGAAAAGCTCTTTGCAGACAGAGAAATGACATTGCTCCATCCCAGGAGCGGGTGGTCTAGGGAAAGGCCAGCCTGGCCTGCAAGGGCTCTCCCCGCGCAGCGCTCGCTGCTCTGCTCTGCTGAGTGAGGGCCTGGCCCTGTTTCTCAGGAGACCTCCCAGACAGGTTTCTTTTTGTCCTCCTCGTTGTATTTCCCCAGGTTTCTCAGCTGGAGAATGTTCTGTGCTTCTCAGAGATTTGACTCAGAGGCTCCATGACAAAGTCATGGAGGTGGAGCTGCATGTTTTCAAATGTATTATAGCTCCAGTTCCTCCAGGAACTGCAGAGCCACAGCCAGGAAGGGAAGCTGCCTGGCCATCCCCAGGCCTCATTTCCACACCTCACACCTCCTGGCCTGCTTCCTTACAGGACCATGAAGACCATCTGGTCCAGTGTCCTCATGTTTGGCCTGAGAGGTGGGCCCTGGGTGAGCATGTGGCTGTCTGGACTCAACCCAGTGTTCATTCCATGACTGCACTGTGCAGTCGTCATCTGCACACAGTCTGCTGTGACCACAGAGAGGGCCTGGAGAGTTTCTAAGATATGACTTCTAACTCATCCTCAGGGGCCGCAAAGGTCTTCCTAGTCAAGATGCTAGTGGTTGTGACCTGCACTCTCTTACTTGGTGAACGTAGCACCAGAAGCAAAAGTGGGGCAGCGGGCAACCCCTGGGTTTGTCTGTGTAGGATCTGAGGTACTATGATTAGAGTCTTATCCACAGGATGGCTAGAAGCAGAGAGGAAATGAGTATAGCTGAGAGTGGAGAACCAATTTGAAGACTAGAAAAAAAAAAGCTGTATTATTCGTCTAGAAGGTAAAACTGAACATATATATGATTAACAAGTAAACACTGTAATTTTCTCTGAGTGATAGATGGGGCAGAAAAGAAAAGGAGAAAAAGAAGGGAAGAAAGAAATAGGATTCAGTAACGTACAGAACATGTTGGTGACTGTGTTCTGTGTGTGTGTGTGAATAACATGTCAGGTTGGGTGTACAGGAAGCTGCAACTCAGACCTGGGCAGGGAGGACATCTGGTCCACGTCCTGGATGTCACCTGGGCCTACAGTTGACCTGGGGCAGCAGATCTTAGTGATGTAGGAAAGGAGCCCTGTGTGGATGTGGATGTTGGCATAGACCGGCTCTCCATGACCTATGCCAACAGCCCCTCAGCCTGGCAGGAAGAAGAGGAGGCCCCCCCCTCAAAGCAAAGTTACAGTAAATCTCTGACAAACCAGAATAATTGCTTCCCGTAGCTCTGTGTCTCCCTCCTCTCATCCCCTCCCAACTGCCACACATGCGCACGTCAGAGAGGACAATTCTAGTTTAATTTCCTGCAGCAGTATGTAAAACAGATTAAGGAAGTATAAAATCAGAGCTAGCCTGTGCTGGGACAAGCTTATCTCTTTCCATTAAATTTTATTTTTTTAATGGTAGAATTTAAAAAGTCTGATCGTAATCTTCCACAGAGGACCTATTTGAAGTCTCCAAGTCGGGGTTGCTGCACCCGTGTACTGACTCTAAATGTCACAGGAGAAATGGAAGCACAGATCGTCTGCCACATGACAGGCATGGTCACTCAGGAGTAAAGATAGGGTCCCCAGAACTGATTTCAATCTCATCACATCGTTTTTTTTTTTAAAGTAATTTTAGAATTATGGTCATATATTAAACAAAATGAATTAAATCAAATTATGATTTAAAGCTGCAAACAATATAGCTTTCTTATTAATTTTTAATAAAAATATATTAAGCTTATCAAGGATCTCATATACTCTCTACCTTAAGCCTGAGGGAATCCAATAAATGACTTCCCCAAGCAGGATTTAAATATGGATATAAATCAGAGGGAAAAGAAATGTATGCATGATAAGAACCTCTGGAATCAGATCACAAGAGGGAAAAATGCAGGCAAGTTTTCTTACTCTGTCCACTGTGGGGTGAAAGCTGAGTAGAGGGTAGGGGTAGGGGGCTTGCAATGGAGCATCCAAAGCAGGTCATGTAGGAAGACAGACTTACACTTCAAGCAGCCCCAGAGCCATGACAAGCCCTTCACAAGGGGCAGCAGGAAATCCCAAAGCCTTTGATGACCTGCCTAAGCTTACAGCACCCCTGCCGACTCTGCCCATGCTCTGCACCTTGCATACGATCTGCTGGAAGGACCTGTCCTCCTGGGAGGCAAAGTTTCCTTAAAGAAAACATCTCTCCATTCATTCACTAAATATTGTCTAAGCAGCTATAATGAATAGGACTTGGGCCTTGTGTGATAAAGGAAGAGGTGAGGTGCTGGGGCATCCAGGGGGACCCCAGCGGGGGTTACAGATGCTGTGAGCTCTGGCCTGTGCCTTCCAGTGGGAGTAGCTGTTCCAGGAAGAGTTGTCGCTTGTATTGCTGTTTAACTAGTCAGTCGATCAAATGCATATTTATTGAGCACCTGAGACCCCCCTGAAGAAGTCATGTCTCCTCCCTGAGCCCAGAGCCTTAGTTTCCTCACTTGAATAACGAGGAGGGTGGATTAAAGTCTATGGACAAACCATGTCCCAGACAGAGAGCTAGGAGGTGATAATTGGTTTTGTTTCCAAATACTGTGTTAACTGATTTCTAATTTAACTCCATTGTGGTCAGAGAATTTACTTTGCATGACTTGAATACTTTTACATTTATTGAGACTGCTTTATGGCCAGAATCCTTCATGGTATATGTTCTGTGGGTACTTGAAAAGAATGTGTATTCTGCTGCTGCTGAGTGGAGTGCTTTATAGATGTCAGTTAGAGCCTGTTGGTTGATGGTGCTGGTCAGGTCGTCTGTCCTTGATTTTCTGTCTACTTGTTTTGTCAGTTGATGAGGCGGGTGAGATGTCCCCCTCAACAACTGACAGAACAAGTGTCCGTGAGTCTATTGTCCATTTCCCCTTTCAGTTCTATCAGTTTTTGTTTCCCACAGTTGCCAACGGGGTTGTTTGATGCATACACATTGAGGGCTGCTATGTATTCTTGGTAAATTGACTTTTCCCCCCCATTATGTAATACCCTTCTCTGTCTCTAGCAACATTTTTTTTGCTCTGAAGTCTATTTTATCTGATATTAATACAGCTGCTCCAGCTTTCTTTTGACTAATGGTGTTTTCATGATACATCTTTTTTTCCATACACTTACTTTCAACCTGCCTATATCAGTATATTTAAAGTGAGTTTCTTATAGACAGAATATAGTTGGGTCATGTAAAAAAATCCCTTCCAATAATCTGTCATTTAATTGGTATATTTTAGACAATTTATTTGTTTGCATAGATCACTTATGTAATTAATGTACTTATTCATGTATTAGGGTTTTAAGTTTGCTATTTTTTTTGTTGTTTTCTGTTCTGGGTTTTTTTTTTTTGCTTCTATTTTCTTGCATTTCCTGTGGATTAAAGTTTTTTTAGAACTCTTGTAGAATTTTTTTTTTTATTAAAGTATAGTCAGTTTACAATGTGTCAATTTCTGGTATACAGCATAACAGTTCAGTCATACGTATACATACATATATTTGTTTTCATATTCTTCTTCATTATAGATTACTACAAGATAGTGAATATAATTCCCTGTGCTATACAGTATAAACTTGCTGTTTATCTATTTTATATATAGTAGTTAGTATCTGCAAACCTTTTATCCCTTCCCACCCCTTTCTTCCCCCTGGTAACCACAAGTTTGTTTCCTATGTCTCTGAGTCTTTCTGTTTTGTAAATAAGTTCATTTGTGTATTATTTTCTTTTTTAGATTTCACATATGAGTATGATATCATACGGTATTTTTCTTTCTCTTTCTGGCTTACTTCACTTAGTATGATGATCTCCAGCTCCATTCATGTTGCTGTAAATGGCATTCTTTTATTATTTTTTATGGCTGAGTAATACTATATTGTATAAATATACCACAGATTCTTTATCCAGTCATCTGTTGATGGACATTTAGGTTGTTTCCATGTTTTGGCTATTGTAAATAGTACTGCTGTGAACATTGGGGTGCATGTATTTTTTTGAACTAAGTTTCCCTCTGGATATATGCTCAAGAGTGGGATTGTTAGATCATTTTTAGTCTATTCTTAGTTTTTTAAGGAATCCCTATACTGTTTTCCATAACGGCTGTACCAAATTACATTCCCACCAGCAATGTGGGAGTGTTCCCTCTTCTCCACAACCTCTCCAGCATTTATCATTCGTGGACTTCTGAATGATGGCCATTCTGACTGGTGTGAGGTGACATGTAATTGATTTGCATTCCTCTGATAATTAGTGATACTGAATATTTTTTCATATGCCTGTTGGCCATTTATATGTCTTCATTGGAGAATTGCTTGTTTAGGTCTTCTGCCCATTTTTGGATTGGGTTGTTTGTTTTTTTGTTAAGTTGTATGAGCTGTTTGTATATTCTGGAAATTAAGCCCTTGGCAGTCATCTTTTGCAAATACGTTCTCCCATTCCGTAGGTTGTCTTTTTGTTTTGTTTATAGTTTCCTTTGCTGTGCAAAAGCTTGTAAGTTTAATTAGGTCCCACTGGTTTATTTTTGCTTTTATTTCTATTGCCTGGGTAGACTGCCCTAGGAGAACACTGCTAAGATTTATGTCAGATATTTTGCACGTTTTCTTCTAGGTTTATCATGTCTTTTAAGTCTTTAAACCATTTTGAGTTTATTTTTGTGTAATGGTGCAAGGGAGTATTCTAACTTCATTGATTTACATGCAACTGTCCAGTTTTCCCAATGGCATTTGCTGAAGAGACTGTGTTTACGCCATTGTATGTTCTTGCCTCCTTTGTCAAAGATTAATTGACCAAAAGTTTGTGGGTTTATTTTTGGGCTCTCTGTTCTGTTCCATTGATCCATATGTCTGTTTTTGCACCAGTATCATGCTGTTTTGATTACTGTAGCTCTGTAGTATTGTCTGAAGTCTGGGAGGGTTATTCCCCCAGCTTCATTCTTTTTCTTTAGTATTGCTTTGGCAGTTCTGGATCTTCTGTGATTTCATGTACATTTTA